GTTCTTCTAAAGAAGATGATCTTTTTTCCCTTTAATAAATGTTTCTATTGACTGTCTTCGCATGTTCTTCCTCTTATAATAGTTAGAAGTCTTTGTCTCCTTTCAGCTTTTTTCCATTTCTGCTCACACTACACCAACCATAGTTCCCTTGAAAGAACCTGCCATTCTTCTTCCACAAAGGTAATGATGCAAGTGTCCTCGCATAGTCAGGCAGTAGGTATCTACTCCCTCTTACATTTTTTTTTCACAATAAAAAGAAAAGAATTACTTATCGTGGAGATATGTTGCACAGATCAATTTCTTCCTCTGCATTTAAACCGCCTAACCTTTGCCTGGATCTAAGTGGCTGGGAATGCACTACTTCAAAGTAATTTCATTTTAATGAGCACACCACTTTGAATGTACATTTTCAAAACAAAAACCATTCCAAAAGAGTGTATCGAGAGTGTTTTCTTCATTAAAATCAAAACACTTTGAACTGAAGGAGCACACTCCAAGCCACTTTGATGCCAAGGTAGCAAAGCCAGTTTCAATCCATGCCTATAAGGGATGTGCAGGAGATTAGCCAGATGTTCAATTACTCCTCCTAAGAAACTCCATGATGTACTAATATGCCTGCCTGTGCCTATAATTGCATGAGTACTATTGGGTACATACCAAATAAAATAAAAAAATCACTGATTTGCACATTGGGAATCCACAGATCCTTAAATTTATACTTATCTGGGCAATACTTGTATGTAAATATTATGGCATTCTCAGACTATCTTTTGAAAACTGAAATTCTTTCATATATAATAAAGCATTCGATTGTTCCCAACTAAGCATTTTCTTGAGAAAAAAATATGTAAATATAAAACACAGAAGAAAGTTTTAGAAGAAAGTTTGTGGCACACTGTGATTTATCTGACATTACATTTAGGACATCAACATTTTCGATGTTTATGTCTGAGCTACTCATTCTGGCTTCCTCTATGGCACCTGAAAAGAGACACCTGCACTGAGGGCATGTAATTTACTTTGTCCTCAAGCAGATATCTAAAAGTGCCCTAAAAGTGCCTATTTCTCTCCATTGACTCTAAAAGGGAGCCAAATGTGAAAATTCTTTTTCCATATCTGAAGGGGACTGCCTACATTTAGGTGTCTAATGGTAGGGGTGATGGATCCTCCCTGCAGAGTTAAAAGTCAGGACATACATTCTTGTGCTGATACTATAGATGTGTTCCAAAACATCCATCTCCAATGATCATAATAAATACAAAGTCTAAATAAAAGAGAACACAAAGAGGACCTGACATTTCAGCCTTCACTTTTAATATCTTTGGTTTTTGGCTATATGTTTCCATATGCTTTTTAATTATTTGAATAGACATATATTGTTCTAAGGGCTGGTCATCTCTTGGAATATGCCAAATACAGAAAATCATTCATTTAATGAACTTAGGAAGGTAAAGATGTTAGTCAAAAGCTAAATTTTCCAAACATATTGAATTCTTTGAATGATAATGCATATATTTCTGCAAACTGGTTCCTTGAAACACAATACTCTAGTGTTTCACTGGTAAGATAGACATGAAATTTAAAAGAAATAATGTTATTTTACGATGTGAAAAAACTTACGGTTTATTTTTCTAAAGTGTCCTCTAATTCTGCTGTTTCAGTTTTATGGCCACAAAGACTAGCATCTACCATAAAGTAAGTGGGCAAATAAGAACTATTGTATGTATGTCACTATATTGTATTTTACTGGGTGTCCAGTTGCAAACAGTTACTCCTGCAGTATTTTTGTGGGTTCATAATTACCCTTCTGAAATCAGAAGCTGGGGTGGATCTTGGCTGACAATGCATCACACAACATCTGAAGGCATTCTGATAAGATGATAAATTCTCTAACCACTGCATAAGCTATTTCCATTATTATGTTCTTAATAATTACTGACCTTAATTTGTTTTTAAAAAAGGAAGAATTGTGTTAACACAGGTCACAACTGCCTAAGTGTGTTTTACTCACATGGTAGTGGACAGTCAATGTACAATTACATGATAAAAATAATAGTAGTATGCTAATTCCAGAGAAAGCACCTGGAAACATAAAGTGGAAAACAGTAGAGGAAACCAACTCCCTGTACTATGCAGAAGACACAAAAAGAGGCCTCCACCACCTCTCTGGGACAACTCTGTTTCTTCAGAGAAATGAAAGGGGAACTGCCCCGATAGAGCAGAAATCCACACGCTTTTGTGTTGGACTTCGTGTGGGACAGCAGTATGAGCCGATAGGAGAGGGAGGCTTCCTACTGCTCAGGATCTTCTCCTTTAGAGATGGTCTAGTCATGCTTTGACTGGAAAAACGTGGGCAGAATGATCTTGAATGTCATGCCGCAGGCTTTGCTGCTCCATAGTGTCTGTCAAAGCCTTGTCTTTCGAAAGGTCTTGAAATCTTCTAAAATTATAATGTACTGGACATCAAAAATATTTTGAAAAAAATCCATTGCCTTCCCCTCTTTATTTTATGTATGACAGCAATAAAAGTTAATCCAGCTGGCCAGTTCTAGCAGATAGCATTTTGGGACTTTACCTCAACCCTTGTTTCTTACACACCGCATACATAAAAACACAATCGCATTCTTTATCTGGCTGGATGTCTTTATCAGGATCTACTTGAGACTCTGATTTCCCTCTATGTACAATTTTTTTTTTTCTTATTCCTATCTTCAATTCATTGCAGCACATCCTTATCAAAAGATGAAGTAATGCTATATAATCAAGTAGTGTTGAGAACCACAAAGGCAGACACAAAAGCCAAACAAGTTTCTTTCATTTCTGATCTGCCCTAATAATCTGTTTTTTCCCTAATACATGGAATTATGTTGGGTTCAGTTAGGTTTAATAACATAACTGTTTACAGCTTTCTGGACCAAAATACAGCTTTCTAAACCTAATATGTTTACCAAGTTAGAAGAGACTAAATATTTACCACCATATTTTATTATCTTGTACTACATTTTCTACTACATACTTCTGACATCTCTTCTGAGCATAAAATTTATATTCGGAACAGTGATTCAGATTTGGTCTATATCCCATCTTAAAGGTACACTTTAAATATGATACAAATACAGTTAAAAAACTTAACTCTAAAGGAGCAGTACATTGTACTCATAGATTTTCAGGCACATTATCCAAAGTGGCCTCAGGATTTGGAATTCTGTGTAAGATGAAGTAATACTTGTCACAATTTTTACAACTTAACTAACGTCTCCTTTTTTTTTAGGTCTCCTAGATGGTCTTTAACACCAATGGAACAAAAGAGGTGCCACCAGAGAGTAATTTAGGCCTCAGACGGAGGGGATGATACGGTGGCTGATATGTCTATCTTCTCAAGAAATTAGGAAAGTTCCCTAGATGTCCACCCATATGTCTAATTTTAACTGGGCTGGATTTGAGTATCTATATCTGACGAAAAGTATCTGAACGATGGTATTGTATATAGGTAGGAGAGAATACTATTGGAAAGTGACCTTAGCAACCCCTTAGTGGGGTTGCACTAAATTGGAGAAGAATTCCTGTGCACCACCGAGATCTATTAACTAATATACCTGAGCTGAAGGCAGTAACTTCTTTAATGATGCAAACATGCTTTGAAAGACCCTGTCTGAGTACTGAGTGGGCAAGCACTTACACTATCTTTTAGAAGTAATTTTGAAAATTTGTCCCAAGATTAACATATTCACTTTAACAACAAACAAGAAGTGAATATTATCGAATTACTTGCAAAGCCCCACACTTCATTTTTCAATTATTTTTTCAGTTAAATTATGTCTTGTAAAAACTAATCATACACAATATAAACAGAATGGAAAATATTTCACTTTGAAAGCTTGTAAAGGCATCTCTTGAAAAGAAACTAAGTTCTGATCTTCTGCCCAAACTCTCCAGTCAATCCACACACAAAACTTCAACTCCATTTTAAAAAAAAAAATCCGCAAGTATCCCCAATTTATGAAGTACTGGCTACAGTTCTGTGTCTGACAAATGAAAATTTAGGGAAAGTCTCTGTTTCCCTACCACAGACGGGTCCAAACATTGTAGAGTAATAGCTAATGGCTTCAAGTTTGCACATACAGTAGAATTTTTTTCCATTTTTTACTTCTTTCAGAGAATGAGTACGTACCATATTTTTCTCATTTTTCTTTTTCTTTCCCACCAAATGCTGTGTTTCATAACATTGGAAATGCTGGTGAAATGTATTTCCAACTCTAGTGGTTTTGCATAAATAAAAGCTTAAGAGGAATGGCAGTACTTGACACTTAAATCTTGAGAAATGATGTAAGTAGTTTTCACTTTTATAATGTTTAAATCCCACAGACAGATTGGAGTAATGAACTGAATACCTTTTCAGTTCACTTTTGCAATCTGACTGGAATCTAGGATACTCCACATGAAGTCCACCTGTACCTATTGCACACATCAGTTGTACCAATGCCTGCACACACATGCAAACAAAATTAAATCAGTAAACGGTGAACTATTGGATGGAAGCATCCAAGATTTACGCTAGTGAGAGCAGAATGAGACCTATCATATCTGAGACAGATATGATTGTCAGCAATACAATGGCAAATATTTTCAACTGCATGTGCTTGCAGGTAGGGTCAATGATTATCACTTGTATCTTGCAGGAACAGTTTTTCTTCTCATAGCAACACAGTATTTTCCAGTGGACTTTACCTGGTAGGTCACAAAATCCTTTGCGGTCGTGTGGAATGTTAAATCTCCAGAATTATAGAGTTTCATACAGACTGGCTCTGAAACTTTAATCTTGTTTTCTAGGTATAAACACTTCTGATAATAAGAGAAATATGAACAGCAGTGTATCATCCCAAACAATAATTTATACTGAATGAAAACATTAGCGTCACCCCTTAGACACAAGACACAATTTATTGTCTTATCATTTAATTAGAACAACAGGGCATGCAATTTCTTTATGCACCACTGACCTCTAAAGAGCTCATTGATATTGTGGATCCAGTTTCACTTCTTGATAATCCTGCATTGTCATCCAGCTCCGAGGCAATGAAATTCTTCACTGCTGTGCGGGGCTCAAATGGTAAATTCTGCATATGTTCTTGGGTGGGAAGATGCTGGTCTAAATTAATATTAAATTGGTCCATTACAGAGGGATTCATATTGAACTCTGGATTAACTTTGTAGTGCAACAGCCTTTCATGAGGCAACGTATCCATGCCTATATTCATTTTGCTCTCATCTTTCAGTGATGGCTGGGTATTTACTGAGCCCCGGGGCATAACTATATAGTCACTTTCTATCATCCGTTCTTGAGGATGGACTATGTCCATATCTGCACCTCTCAAATTATCATCAGTGCATAAATAGACAGTCCTTCGCAACTCACTGTTGTCTTTTTTCAAGCACTGATTGGCCAGTTCACTCATACTCATAGGCATGTGGAGACCTGTTGGTTGCTGGATGATGACTTTGGAGATGATGTTTCCAGGCAAGGTAGAATAGCTCATTCCTTCAGGGTTTGGTCCCTTCTCCTCCTCTTCATCGTTTAGTGAAATTCTAGAAAGCGTTCCTGTTATAGTAGCTGCTCTGCAAGGTCCGATGTCTTTATGCAGAACTGTGGGTCAAAGAACAGAACCCTTACAACATGAAACCACGTCTGTTTAACACTGCTTTTTCTTGTGGCTTTATTTAGCAGCACTCCCTTTACCAGTGCATCTTCTTAACCCTTTTTCTATACATTTAATAACTTTTATTCTATAAATATTGTTTTGGGTAGGTGGGGGGTTTTGGTGGGATTTTTTTTTTTTTTTATAAATCAACGTCTCTTAATCTACTGTATATAGCTGACACAGATCTCTGACTAAGCCTCAGCCATTTATGTAAATTAAAACACTCATTCATTTATTCCTGAAAAAATAGGTGACCTACAGTTTAAGCAAAAGTCTGCCATATGGAACTCAATTATGGGTTTTCCAAAAAAATGCACTATGACATCTGTACTGCCATTATTAACTCCACATAACCTCCTGGAAAATGTCAAATAGATTGTCAGGCAGAGTAATTTTGTCAATTCATTGTAATGACCTACCATAAGATTATAACTATGAACATGTGTTCCCGAACTCCTAAATGTTCCTTTTCACTGACTTTTTTACTCTTCTGTGTTAACTTGTATCAACATCCAGCAATTTTTTGTTGGGGTAAAATCCACATGTAAATGTTATTAATCCTGTCATAGAATACAAAATGTCCAGGAGCACTGAAGGATGCATTCAAAAGCAAAGCATCTATTTAATCACAATTATTGATCTTAAAAAATAAATATAAGTCTGTAATTCAACATTTGTAATGAAAGGAAAAGGACAGAGAGTAAGAAAAAAAAAAAAAAGTAACCAATTACTGGGCTTATTCCAGCTAGGTGCAAAGATTTTCTTGTCCCATTTGAAAATATTTTAATATTTAATATTAGTGCTAGCTTGTGCAATAAAATCCAGCTCATGGGCTGAGACAGTAAGACAACTTGCAGTATCTCAGGTGTTACATTTACATCCCTTTTGGTAGCCTGAGGGCTCTGATGACCCAGATCTCCCAGTACCTGTCAGTTCACTGCCACGTTCCATCGCAAGCAACTCATAAGGCATCCCACTCTCCTACCTCACACAAAACTGGCTCTCGTCTTTCCCTTATGAAAAGAACAATTTGCCTCTGAACAACAGTGCACAAATACCTGACTTCAGTGTGGCTGCTTCATTGTTTCCAGTCACGCTTGTTAAGAGACTTCAACCAGTGTCCTGTTCTTAAATCTTTCATTAGAAGACACTAAGTTTAAATTTTTTTCTATTAAAGCTTGTTCATAACTGTATCCAAAGTCCATCTCCTTAAGGATGCCCCCGTCAAGGCTCTCCGTACTGCAGAGCTATGTTGGCAAAGGTAACAAGTAGGAGCTACATGGGCCAACGCTGGACTTTTGCCTGAAGTGGATGGTGACAGACGTGCTCTTGTGGTACAATGTACCATCCTGCTCCCTTCAAAATACATGTGCATATTAAAACTAATCTATATGGAAGAACTACTATCATATTGCAAGAAACTGAACTGGCAGTTTTTTAAAGGTGGGTGACTGGAAACTCAGAGTTTACCTTAATGAGCTCAGCATTGTTGGCTCCCCACCTAGCCAGCGAAGAGAGACAGTGTCCTTCGGGTGGGTGATGCAGAACAGCTAAGTCAGGCTTCTGCCCTGGCTCACCCTGTGGAGAGGATACCCTCTCTCTCTTTCTTTCTCTCTTCATTGAAAACGGAGGGTCCCTAGGCAGCATTGCTTCCCTAGGAAAAACTGTCCTTTGGGAATATCTCCTAGATTATAAAATTTCTATAGGGTTTAAATAGTCATTTATTTTACACTGTACTTTTTATTTAAGCAAAGTTGGGAAATAAATTGCTTGAAATGTGTTATTTGTAATATGTGGAAACAGACATAGCTGACTAATTAAAGATCATGCTACTGAAATGTCTTAAAAAAACCCTCAACTTGTTCCAGTAAAGTGTAATCAAATTTCATTTTCCTGACACCATGTTGCTTAAGCTACCATTGATTTCACTTAGAGTCCTAAAAAAGTTACCCTCTTTAAAACTAACACCAATTGATGCATCCTTCATACACATAGCTGTTAAGATACGCTATATTAGTTGGTTTTTTTTTTTAATAGAAAAATGACTGTTTCACATTTGCTTGTGTACCAGGGCAAGGAAAGATTTGTGTGTTAAGACTGATTTTCTTTCCAAAACTGTTTGCTTTCTAATAGACAATCACACCTTTGGCTGCTTCCCAATTGCTGAATTTCACTAAAAGGCTTTTGTAAGAAAATAAAATAAATGTATTCGTACAGTGGCATCACTTTTTTTGCTTACATTTATAAATATGTGCTGTAAACAAATAAACCCTGATATTTTTCTGTTTTTCACTTTACAAGGAGGTAGTACAAGACTTCTTTTTGTTGATTAAAGAGTCTCTTGATGTTCTTACCTGACCGGCAAGCAATGTCCACATCCTTTTCAAAATCAGTCTGTAATAAGAAACAACAAAACAGGACAACAATTATTAATTGAAAACTAAACCACAATACCTTTTTGCCAACTAACGCTTCCGAAATGTCCTACTTACAGAGTCATAGTCTCTTAAAAGTGGTTTCTTGTTGCTGAGAAGGTGAAGTGTATTGTTTTACAACAGCAGAGCTTTACAAAGTTTCCTAAAGTATAACTGGGTGGTTTTCAAAGTATGCTGCCTGACCAGAAAAAATAAAATAAAATAGGTGGAAGTAGAGTATAGAATTTTAATAAAACGATACAGTGTATAGTTTTTTATGTATATGGAAGAGTAACTTCTACATCTCATTGAAGGATCATCTTTAAGGAAGCTTTTCATAGCATTTTTATAAACAGAAGTATGGAAGATAGCCTGCAATACAAATTACTCTAAATAAGTGCAATCCAATTAGTCCACCCTGCCTGAAACTTCATTAATTTGTTATGAAGTGGTTATTTGTTATATAACATTCTGTCCATCCTTGCTATTAATGTAATCATATAAACTTTGTACTCCCTGAAAACAACTTTTTTTTATTTCATGGGGCAAAAACAAATTATAAGAGCTAAGAATTAATTTTAACAGTTGAAAAATCCAAGCACACTTTTCCCAGTTAAACAAAACTATTTATTCTGTTAGAGAATTCAAGTAATTTTTAATTATGTTTTTATTTCCACAAAAAGTTTATTATATGAAAAATATTTAATAAAACTGATCTCCTTCTTGCTTCTGAAGTCCAAACATTGGATTCTTTTTGAGTCATCATTTTTGAAGGGCATCTATTTGCTGAGCCTTGCATTTTTTTAGGGCCTGGTCCTGTCCCCATTATAGTCAACGAGAAACTGTTGTTGAAAGTGAAGGGACCAATATTTTGTCTTAATATACTCCCAAACAGAATTAGTAAATCCAAACTGGCGTACTGAGACTTTCACTTCCTCCTTAATGCAAGCCACTAAATAGATTCTCCCTCTAGAATCCCTAACACTTTCTTGCTGTCTGACTTAGCTTGAGAGGAAGGCCTCATGAAGGGAAGCCTTTCAAATGCATCAGTGCTCATCACACCAACAGTAGAAATAGTCATGATATATTATTAGATTATTTCCTCATTCTCTTATGTAAGAAACTTTGTCATAAAGAACACTGGTTGGAGACAATAATTCACTGTGCTCCACTAAATGATCCAACCAATAATTTAAAACTTGCTAAGACATTTAAGCAAGAGATAATGACCTAAACAGATTTACATTTAAAGAATTGTGTTTGCATTTCAGCTGTGCATACTTGCCACGTACAATACTGTAAGCTTTTTCTTTGGATAGGAACACTAAATTAATAATCAAAGAAGAAAGTAAAAGCTAACCATGATTTGAGCATGTCCATTAGGAAAAGAACTTGAAGAATCTGCATTGATTGGATCCTGGCAATTTCTCAGTCGACATCTGAATGCATCTTGAACCTGTGAAAACAATATCTTATACTGATTCTTGTGTAATGTCATGTACTCTACTCCTACTTAAGATTAAACTAAACTGTATGGAATACAATGCATGACTTTTCTTTAGCACACTTAATAAATCAGAAGCAGTAAACATAAATGTTTATTTCTGCTATTTCATACATTTGCTACATTTTGTGGCTGCTGCAGTGTCAATCTATCACATCGAGACCACAGAATTAGATGGACAGAATTAACTAGTAGTCAGTGATGATTTGGTACTCAAGTCAAATCTTGTTTGGGTGATAGCATTTGGCTTTGTCTTCTCATTCAGTTTGGTACGGTTCTGATAGCAGGATTAATAGATATATTAACCATTGCAAAACCAAACATATCTTCTGCTTGACAAATGTAAGATTCTTGCAATACAGTCCTTAACAGTTAGTATAATCAGATACATAGTGCTCTCCTAATTACACTTTAAAGAATAAGTTGATTCAAAAGATGTTACTGATTCCAATCATAATCTCTAACTCCATATAAAGGGAATCTGAGGTATCTTTTCTAGGAGTAAAACTCTTCAGATAAATATCTTCAGTGTGAGCACAAGAAGAAAAGTGGACTGTTTGCACAGAGTCTGGTTTCTTGAAACTAAAAAAACAAAGGTCCTTCTCAGAAATTACTGTTTTACTAATATCATCCATAAAGTAAATTTGAAGACTTGTCCCTAAAGCACAAATATATTTGAGGAATTATTTTTTCATAGGAAAGGCTATGTTTACTTTGATTTTGGGCAGAATATATGTCTAAAGAAATATTATAATGCAACACTTTTGTCAGAAAGATGTGGCTCAACAGAGAGTCACATGCAAAAGAAAAATGCAGTTCCTGTTTGCTGACAGTAGAATGCAAACACATTTTGCTGCTTTCTCACATGTACAGTAAGGCCAGCAAGGCAACTTTTGGAATGGAAAGCTTTAAAACGTGAATTTTGGTTCCAGAAATGCAAGTGTCCATATTAGCAACCTGATTGCAAGATGTGACTTGGAAAACAGGAACTTAATTGGGTGACCTCCAGTCAAAACAAACTAGTTTCATTTCTTGTTTGAATATGAAAGTACTCTCAATGAAATGCCTACAAAAAATCTACATTCCATTTATTATCTGTCGAAATTACTTGATGCCTTATTCAGAATAATTAAAAAGGAGAAAATCGTATTCTACTCAGGGACATTTTGTGAACAGCAGAAGAGGATAATTCATTAATATTGCCGATGAAAAGCTGTCCCCTTTCAATACGTTGTATTCTACTGCAAGCTGTTTAAGAGCTTTCACAAAAGGGAAGACAAGTAGAGAAAAAATTATTTATTTTTGTAATTTAAAAACATTATTCTAAAGTGTTCAACCAGTAAAGAAGTAAGAGTGCAGTCTTGATAAGTGACTGTTGCAGGTGGAGGAAGACTAATATAGAGCAGAAAGAAGAATTAAGCAAGGTGGGAAGGTTTGGATTAATTTCAAAACACCAAGACTTCCCACATGTGGTAAAGTGTGCTTGACCTATGTCATGACTCAGATTCTGATTCTAGGCACTACACTTGCTGTGTTTTGCCATGTGTTTGATGTTAATTTAATTTGGCACCTCCCAGTTGTTGCAAATTTAATCCAAGTCTTCTCTCACTTTATTGATGCTGAAGTCAGGTCGCACTTAGGAGTTTTATGTTCTTGGATAAGCACTGGCACAGTGAATTGCAAAAAAAAAAAAAAAAGCATCCCCAGCTGTGCTGAATCTCATCTCAAACTTCCTGATGCTTGACCCCAAAGAACATACTTCAGAACATACTGTGTGATCTCACTTTCTGCAGTGGGCCTCCTTAGTTTTGAGACTCCAAGAATCCCCAGTTCAGGTAGCTCCAGAGATCTCAGGAATCTCATGTCCTACTTCCACTACCTTCTGTATTAAAGTGGTGAATCTTGACGTTAGGATCCTCTTAAATGTGCATGTTTCTTACAATGTTTCTGAAGTGCAAGCAGCATATGATTTGAACATGTTAACAGAATGTCAAATGTAGCTGTATCCATCATATCGACATATGTTGCAACTTCTAGGTGTCCTCACACAAGTCAGAAACAAAAAGGTTGAGCTTTCTAAATATCAGCTTATTTTTCTAAACTCCATGTTCAAACTTGTTGTTTGAATATGTAGAGACTGTGCTGTCTTTACATTTTACTTTGAAACATAATTTTGTTTCCCCCCTCTGCCTTTTAACATCAAGTTACAAGATTTCCTTAGAGCCAGGCAGAGCAGGAGAGACAGATGTGATGAACGTGCGGATACCAGGGAAGTGGTTTCCTTAGCAACAGTAACCAACTCCAAGCTTTTATAACTTACCCTCTCTCTACTCATGTACTCTTTATTTTTCTCCTGCAATACAGAAATGTGGGCTTAAGACGCCAACGATGCATTTAATCCAAATGCTCTCTAGTCAGCAGAGCATAGCAAAAGGAGAAAATACATGTGGGTTCCTCCCATCACCAGGAGTTACTCAGTGTGATTAAAATTAGCTTTAGAGCATCTTGTGTTCAAGCAGGTCAGGCAAACTGTTTTGCTCTGAGGGAGAAGCTTCAGCACTAAGCTCTGCTATCATTCCCTCTTCTGTGAGACATACCTCACCATCTTCCAATGCCCAATTAGGTATTTAAGCAGCAAGAAGAGGACAAAAAACCCCAAACAGACTAGGGTCTCTGGGCTAAGACGACAACATAAAGCAATAATACCTAACTCTTATATTGCATTTTCCTCTCCTAATTTCCAAATGGTCTATAAGAGATTTCATGCTTAAGAAGTATTATATGTATCTTAGAAGTTAGGAAATGAAAATATAGAAAGATTTAATGTCTTTCCAAAAGACTCTGAATCGATGGAGGGCGGGAATAGAACGACACATCACTTAGTTCTCTTCTAGCTGTATGTCTTGGCTTCTTAATGCAGCCCTTGTTACACAAGATCTTTGGTATAGCATACTAGAGAAACTAAAAAATGTTTCTAGCATTTATGTTCATATCAGTATAACTAAGAGGAAAAATGGGGGGTTTATATATATAATTTTAAAAGTCTATGTCTTTCTGTAATGTAACAACAATAAAGGCATAGTATAGCAAGGCTGTCCTCTTCTTTGTTTGAATGTTATGGTGGTATATTCCAGCCCATATTTTTATTCCTGACAGTCAGAATTATTGTTTTGCCTGTGCTGGCATGCTATAAATATTAGATCAATCTATAGGCTATAACTGAGATAGTTTTGTAGCTGTCATCAAGAGTGATAAATGTGTTGGCAGGGTTTCCCTGACAAGCACTGGCAGAGCAAAATGCATTTGCAGACAACAGAAAGTATCAGCCTATTCTTTCAGCTGGGAGGTACCCTGTGGAGTGCAAAGACTGCACCGCACACGGTGCGTTATGGCCGCTCTCTTGGCTTGTACTCACCTAAGGATCTCTGGAGGTAGAAAGCCAGACCGTCTAGAGCCAGACTGAAACATAACTTACTGGAGTTATGTCTCTTTCTGTGTAGTGAACAATTGCAGTAAACAATTATGTCTTTGCTGATGTAAACTGGTCCCTGTCAGTGCAGACCATACACATTTTTTGAAACAAAAATTGTTTCAAGTGCACCAACTTTTACTTCTTTGCTGTTCTTGAAGAATAGAAATAGAGTTCAAACTGTCAAATAGAGTTCAAACAGCAATCTGCCTAGGCTTCTTTGTCTTCCACCACCACCACTATTATCATCTTGACTGGAGACAAGCCACTGATTAGTGGATTGTACAATAAATTGAACATTTACTTCTGCCTAAGTTGTCATGACTGAAGAAAAAACTCCTTCTCCTTTTTGATAAGGGATGACCTTATCAAATCTATGTGCTTTTTGGGGAGAAATTTCATTGGGAAATCTTCTCATGAGGTAATTTTTTAAAATACCATTCAGATAGGTAGATTAGCTGTTTTATCAAATGCTTTTCTTCTAGAATGTAAATGTTAGGACCAGGAAGTGTAAATACCAAGACTGGCTTACGGAAACAACTCCTTTAAGTAGTTAAATGAAGTAATGATTCTTTGCAGTTAGATGATATATGTATATGTGATTTGCTAAAAGACCAGTGAATAAAATAAACCATAACTAGCTGATTGCCTACACACAAACAAATAAGATTGTAAATTCCCATATAAACATCTTTATAAGCAGATATTTTGCATATTACTTGCACTAGAACCAGTGATTTAAAAGTGGTTCAAGTCAAGGTACCATACCAATTTGAAAACTGAGTTTACTTATAGAAAAGACTAATTCCATCTCTATCACCACAATCCTGCCTGTGAGTAGGGTCAGACAAGAACGCTTCCATGAGATGTTCAACAGTACTGAAGTATTCCATGGGAATAAAGCATTTACAGCAAATAGCTGTCATTAGATTAGGGAACCTGTCTTGAATTCAAGGCTTGGGGCATTGTGGGTAAATGCCTGTTCAATTTCATCTTAAGCGGTCAAAATATTTTTTTTTTCCAAATAAACAACTGCATTACTACACTGAGGCAGGCTTTAATGCCTGAATTTTTTTATTTTATAGAGTGCTATGCTATGTTACCTTTGAAATTTCTCATGGCTTTTGGTCTGTTTTTTCATGAAATCAATGACTGATAACCAGTTATGTGTTGCAACCTCTCTACATCCTCATGAAGGACACAAGGAAACGGAACTAGGACATGAGGAAATGGAACGAAACTTCATCAGGGGAAGTTCAGATTGGACATTAGGACAAGGTTCTTCACTGAGGGGGTGGTTGGTTACGGGAACAGGCTCCCCAGAGAATTGGCCATGGCACCAAGGCTGTCAGAGTTCAAGGAGCATCTGGATGACCCTCTTTTCATATGGTTTATGTTAAGGTAGTCCTGTGATGAGCAGGGAGTTGGACTTGATGACCCTTATGGGTCCCTTCCAACTTGCAGTATTCTGATTCAATAATGATTCTATGAAAGATAATGCTTTTTATACTGCTTCATTTTTGAAGGTTTCATCTGCAACCTTGAGCTAAAGATACATATTTTAAAATAAAAATGGATCCTCAGTAAGTGGGAGATGGTATGCCCTTTCCAGACTAATTAGTGTATACAATTATATACAGATTTCATAGCCAGGAAAACCACTATGGAACTGCCATTCTATCAACCAAAATCTTAAGTAAAAATAGTTACAGTGTCTTACCATTTTACTAAAAGAATATGTGAAATAGTGGCTTTCAGTTCTACAGATGAGAATACCCTCTTTCACAGATGAAAATTATATGGGGAAAGAAAATGCTGTAGAAAATAAGGGGATAGCAAGACAGTTCTACATAAAATAGATTTGTCTGGAGTAGTATCTCTTATTCTGCACATATTTTTATCCTGAGTAAAAAAAAAAGAAAGAAAAAAGTGAAGAGAAGAGAAGAGAAGAGAAGACAAGAGAAGAGAAAAGGTATTAAAGGATCTAAGCCTCTTCCCCTATGAAAGATGATAAACTAAGGAGAAAAAAAATTTCATAGCCTCAACAACTTGAATAAAGTGGGATGGAATCAGCACTATGGAAGGTATTATATTCTGCAAGTTATTGATAAGTTTTTTCCTTAAATTTGTAAACTTAATTCTCTGATAAGAGAATTACGTTTAGTTCCTTGATAAGATAATACTGTGTAGGATAGTGATATAAAGTTCATGCAAAGTAGTAAACTACTGAAAGATTGAAATAAATTATGATGTCACTCATAATTCTTTTTCAGGAATATAGCGAGTTTCAATGTTTAAAGGGTGCGAAAGGTGGAAAGGGAAACCACTGTGTGAGTTTCCTCACTCAGCACTGACAATAAACCTTTCCTGAAACATCTTCCTGCTTTTTTAGTCCTGAAGTGGTACTAGCTTTTCCTTGCTGTTCTCAAAGCATTCATCTGTCTTCATCCTCACTGTCCCCATAACTTAAGTATGTTACCTTAAAACTTGAGTTTGTAGAACTGAAAGGGTAGATCTTCACCAACATAACACCTCATCTCCTTGTGTCCTCCTTCAGAGACAGTATAAGCAGAAATAATTTTGTGATTGAATCAGTTTCAGAGGCTGTAAATATCTATAGCTTTTGTTCTTCAAGAAAAGGGCATTCATGTCAGTATTTCCCAATACTCACAAAATTGGGAAAGCCTAACACTTAAAAATAAACTGAACTTGGGATAGATTAACAGCCAGCTTTAATTAAATGGGTACAGTTTTACACTGAAACTGATATTCTGCACCTGGAATTAACTGATCTTCCCCCTCTCGCTTTCCTTTGTTCCTCTACACCTCACCATAAAATACTTTTCTCTTTCTATGAAATGTATTTCCACAGAGCAAACTGTATATAACATTAAAGAGCAGTTGAGAGATTAACAGGAACACAGCCTTTTAGAAAACTGGGAAGCCATTCCTCACCTCCCTTCGGAGAATACAATGGACCATGACAATAACAAAGCCTTGTAATGAATCAAATACTGCAAAAAGTATCTGAAATAATATTGATCTTTTGTCTGTCATGGCCAGAACTGCAGACATCCAGGTCAGGGCCAGAAGTGGCAACACCACACAGGAACTCCAAAGGGATGCCCTATCAAAGGAAAGAGAAAAGCTGCACTGTAATATTGTAAAAAATGATTAAAAGCTCACTATTAAAATAAAGCATATTTAAGGATGGCACTTTATCAAGTTAACTTGAAAATCACAGACAAGAATGTAACAGTGTCGGTACTTTATGTTCTAAAGAATATCCTGTATTCAGTTAATAAACACAGTTGCAATTTTTTTTTTTTTTTTGTTAAAAAGTATTTAAATGTGCTCAGCACTCTATACAGTGTTAGCAAACACAGTTGTCATCATCAAACTATTGTCTCACATGCACTGTATAAGATTTGTAACAAGAAGATGTAAATGATCAGGACTAACATGGCATTACTGGCGGTGGTGGCTGACAAAGCTGTTGTTGAAACTACTCCACACTTGGCACATTTGAGCGTCAAACCGCTATGAGGCTCACTCATCTGACTGCAAACAAACAGAACACCCACAAAAAGAACAAAATATTGAATTGTCACCAAAAAACGTTGCTACTGAAATTTAGCTTTTAAATATGACGTCATGCAGAAAAAGTAAGTAGACTTACTCAGGATGAATGCTCTATGTTGTTGCAAAACTGTACTTTGTACTTTACATTATTAGCTTTAAATGTTAATGCTATGGGGCTTCATTTCATGCAGACTCTATTTCTTCAATTTAAGCTAAAAAAGGCCCCAAATGTCAAGTGATCAAAACTGCTCAGTACACTGAAGTAAACATAAGCACGTGCTAGGATAGACACACAAAGTGAAATCCCTCTATTCAGACCTGTTAAAAGACTGTTGTATCTAAACTTCCTTGAGAAAGAGTATAGGACACTTAAAGGAGGAGTATGAAGTATGTACAATTCCAGAGCATTAGCCTGCCAAATTTCTTCAAGCATCAAATCAGTTTGGGCGTACTGTGTAGTCAGATTTGTGATTTTATTCATGCCATATGAAGGTCTGAATACAGGGCTTGAAATGTATGGAATCTGATGAAATAAATATCAATTGGTACTAAAACAAGGGTGACCTGTTTTGCATTTTAATAAAACACAGTACACAAGCATTAAGCTCAAAGCATTTTGTATGGACAATTGTACCTCGGCACCTGTCAGAAGAGTTAAAGGGCAAAACCTGGAATTTAAATTTTCTTTTACATACAGCATGCATTCAGCTTCCTGAGTCAACTAAATAAAGACTTTTGCTATTCCTTCTCTTCCTACTATCAGAACCAGGAAAAACCATAGCTGACTGGGATGCAACAGGAAGGGTGTTTTACCTATTCCCAGCTGGAAAGTGGTCAACATAGCAAAAGGAAATACTTCATTTTTTCCCTGTTATTTCAATCAACAGAACTCCTTTTTGTTGCCAAACCCAGCATTCACAAGATTTTTAACATGCTGCCCAAAACAACATTGAACTCCAGCGGTTTCCATTTTGATAAACCAAATGATGACTTTCAATAGAAAAAATTGCAGTATATTTTCCATAAAAATACATTTTTTTCCATAAAAAAACCAGTGAGAACCATGACCTTGTATAAAGTGATTGTGGGCTATGAAAAGAACTTAGTGAATTCCCATCAGTTTACACCAGTTAAAGATCTGCATTAATGAATGAACTAAAAAAAAATGCCTTGGGTAAGCTTAACCTAAGCTTGGGAAAATACTTTCAATCTTTGCTTGGCAATACTTCAACATTATCGGACTGGATTATTCTCTTTACCTCTATAGATTTGTTCTGGAACTTGCAAATAACAGAACTTGACGTATATATAGACCAAATATAATCCTTCTGGCAGCGCATATATGTGTGCTACCCCTTTTGCCAGGAAAATGATTGATATCCATCAAGACACTTGTTGATTCTCCATATGCTTATTAAAGTAGAAAAAAACCATATGGAGTTAGTATATTTTGCCCCATTCACTGCTTTAAATCCTACATAAATGGTTTCTGCGACTGAACTTTTGATAGGCCTAAGTCGAAGGTTTGCCAGAAAGAATGAAGTTGCCTTCCTGTGTATGGCTGGCAGGAGAGATCTGAGAAATGAGTGAACAATCGCCTTTCTACTGGAGGTCAAATGCTGCACCGACTTCTATGCCCCAAAGAATGACTCAAGACTCTTCATCTGCCAAGTAGTATCAAAGAATGCTGTTGCCAAGCCACCATCTCATACTATCAAAACAGTTAAGATTTGTTTCTTGATTATGGTATTTACATGATTTCCCAGAACAGCTGGATTGTTTCTGACAGAATAATTTCTAGTTCTTTATCCATTTATTTTAAAATAAAATACCTCTTTACTAAGTTGCGCGCTGTTAGAAAGCAAGTTATTTGTTTCATTGGGAAAATATACTATAAGCAAATAGATATCTATAGTCAACAATTGAGTAGCTGAAAAAAAAATAATGATGTAGTTAAATCTAAGCTTGGATATCCTTAGAAAATGTACAAAGACAAATCTGTGGCTGCTCCAGCTCCTTAAATCACTGGAATTAGAGCAGATGTGAATTTGAATTGGTGATTACCAAGTTATTATGACTCTTGAAATAATTTGGGTAGTTTTTTAATATTCTAGATTTCATCAGTGTTATTACACAGTTAAGAGTGTTGATGGAGCAACGTAGACAAAAGGAAAGTTAAGAAATTAATATTTTCTAATCAAAAGAGAGGAAAAAAAGAGAAAAAACAAAATGAAAGCTTTTGGTACATATTTGTCAGAATAATGGCGAAAGAGCTGAAAACCAGAAAGATTTAATTGAATTAATATTAAATGCAAATCACACCAGCTGAAGTATTTCTCAAAAATTTGCTCATCTTACCAATGAATTGAACTTACTAGGAATGCTACTGTTACTGAAATGGTAAAATAATTCAAAGTGAAGCTGTAATAAATTTACCCATAGCAGTAATACACAGTAAAATAAACACATCATTGTTTATCATTTCTAGAAATGCAGATATTGTTGGTGTTATCTACAAGCTGGCCCGAAAGACAATACTAGAGCATGTAGCTGTAAAAAATGTAAAAAATGTAAAAAACTTCAAATATACTTTCATAAGCATTAAAAAGGTGAAGATGCACTTGTGAAATATTTTTCTCCGATACACAATGAATCTAGGTTTGCCACTGCAGTACTTCAAATCATTGTCATACACTGAAAAACAGTTTCTGATACCACCACTGGCATGATCCTTTCTTCTCATGGTAACAAACAGAATTTGAATGTAAATGCAAGTAAATAATCAACAACACAGAATTTCCATTTACCTTTTTTCTTTTTTTTTTTTTACTTTTAAAACACTTTTTTTTTTACTCTGAAATTCTGTTACACTAATTTGGAACATACGTCTATGTAGATATGAATGTAAGAACAAAGGCAAATTCTTCACATAGTTAGAATGGCAGAATAGCATTGACCTCAGTAAGGCATATATTGCTGTAAAATACAGTTTATAACAGTTTACAGAAACAAGTAACATTTCCCACCATAGTAATTAAAGTTGACAGCTAGACAAAAAAATCAGTTCCTTCAGTACACACAGTTCATAAAACTGTTTTCCTAACTGCAACAACTTTACGTGTGGCATTCTTGTGAAACCTCTGCTCAGATTTGTTTAATCCTCATTATTATTATTAACTTAATACTGTTGTACTTGTGTTTTATTATGTTTAGTTTGTTTAGTTGCATCCCTCAGGATAATGCAACAGCAGCTTTTGAGATGAATGGAATCTGTTAGACACACTGTTACACTGATATAAAAGTTCAAAGCACAATCAAAAGCATTTTTGGTGAATCTCTGTAATTGAAAATTGGTGATACAATTTTAATATGCTTTAAAATAACCCAATTGTTGCTTACCCCGCTCTGTGTTTGAGCTTTTTATCTAGGATTCCATCTCTGGAAACAAGTTTATTAAATACCAAAATGCCAATCACCATGTTGACCTGTCAAACAGAAAACAAACAGTTGATCTTTCAGTGCCTGAATGAAAAGACTTTATCCTGTTACTTCAGAAAGAGGCTCTTACAGGCCTGCAAAATGCCTGAGTACTCCATCACAAATTGGGTAACACTGTCCCCGAGCACACCAAAAGTGTGTATTCTCAAATGGGAAACGCATACGCACACCGCAACAGGCTTATTTTTGAATCTTGATTTATGACTGGTATCAAGTAGTATGCGTACCTGTCTGCTGGCCAGAAGCTTGAGTACTACAGCTTTAATATTTCCTCAGTTTTAATTGCAACGATACATCCTATTCCAGGAAAACCACTGCATTTGAGTTGTGCGCACAGGGAAGAGCTGGCCAGAGCACGGGATGACCGTAACTGTGCTCCTTACTAAGCATTTACGGCCATGTGGGTCTTCCCACTGATGAAGAACCAGCTTGTGGTTTTCTATATCCTCCTGCACATTAGCCACTGTCTATGTCATTCACCAAAATGCCAGTCTTGAGCCTTGTTTGAATGCAATTTCCTTTTTTTTTTTTTTTTTTGTGGGCCAGAGGAATGCCTGGGGTGTCTGTTTAGCTCCATTAAAGTAAATGGTGTTATGATCGCATACATGGGTTGAAGACCTAACCTAAAAAAAAATTCAAGTGTTTCAGCAGTCAGACTTTGGCACTCAGTGGACATACTAATGGCATTTAATGGACAACTTAATGACTGTTATTATCCATTTGTATTATTGAACTGAACTCTATGGACCTGTCTCTGCATGGCCTGCAAAGAGGTAATACTAAGTTTTGAATCTATTAAATAAATGTTCCTTATTTTGGGGGGTTTTTTATTAGAAAAGGGTAATCCTTTTTTCCTTTCAAATAGATTTTTCCAGACCTGTGCCAAAATACTTAATTGTTGCCAGTCTGTCCTGGCAACTCTTTTCCAGCTTTTGTTATTACCACTTTATTTTCAGCATTTACATTTTTCAGCTGATGTTATGTAATTCTTTTGCTCCGTACACTTAGGCTGAAGTGGCTGCACGGAACAGCTCTTTCCACAGCTACTCGCTAACGGTAGGGCAAACCGCGACTGTGAACTTCAAACATCTCTGAACAAAGCTTGCCAATTACACAGAGAACATACAGTTCCATGTGAAAATTATGACTGGCTTTTATGTAAACATTCTTGGCTCCTCTACCACGACAGGGACTGTGAGTTGCACAAAAGGATCCTGGCTTGACTCCAGGCAATGATGAGACAAACTCTATGGGAGTAGTAAACATCCATTTCAGGAAAATTTATGTAGCTAAATGGCTATATCTTTGATGACTACTAAGACCGATTCCCTTTTGCAAGGGAAATAACTGGTGTTGATAGAGCTATCCTAGTATAAAATTGGTGGAGTGGAAAGAAGAATTAGATTCAAAATCTGTAAGGGAAAAATGCTAAACACATTATTGTAAAAAATCCATACAAACTGCAGAGCAGATGACTGATAGCCGATGGCACATGCAGGATGTAATTCATCTTACCCTAAAGTAGACATCTGAAATACTTCTGATGGTTTGAGCCCTAAAAGTGCATATTCTTCTCCACTGACAATGAAATATGGCTGGGATAACTAGCTTAAATGCAGAAATCTACATTGCAGATGTCAACAATTAGGCAAAGTGAATCCTACACCTAAATACATTTCCAGAGATATGAAAGATTAATACACAAATGAGTAACATTTGCCAGCTATGATGATTTTTTTTCTTTGCCTTCAAAAGCAGTAGCCATGGAGAACTTGCTGGCTGGTTCCTCTCCTCCTGTTGCTTTTGCTGGCACAGCGATACACTGCCAAGCAGCACTCTATCAAGACTGTCAGTGAACTTCACAAGGCAGTGCCAACTGCGTAGATGCTACTGATAATAACTCGGTGATGCCTGTAACAAGTTTTCTGTGCCGCTATTCAGTATTTTTTCATTACATTATTCTTTCACAGCTTACTGGGTAAACACGGAGAGATAACTGGTATAAAGAAGTGATACAATTAAATGAATCATGCATTCAAAATACGGAAGGTATCTTAAACAGTACTGAGCTCATTACAGCAAAATGTAATGGTACTGTATAGCTAAGCTTTTATAATTTAAACAGCACATTCCATCATTTCATATGAAAATACTGGAAATTATCTTAATGTTTACCAAGACAACAGCAGCTGCAGGTCCAACGAAAGCATAAAGTAGTCCTCCTTCAAGAGACAGCCAACAGCTGGAAAGAACGTTAGAGAAGAACTAACACAAATTAAAAGTAAGTATAACACATTGCCAAGAAAGCATTAATAATTACTACAGCATGAGATTCTTCCAGTGTATGTTCAGTCCTACACATAGAGATTCATACACACGCACGAAAAATAATTACTTTGCTGATATGATGATGTAGACAGTTGAAAGGTATTTCCATTATCAATTGTTAATGTTTCAAAAGTGTTATTGTGAATTATACATATACTGAAATGCCTAAAATATATTAAAAGCACAATAGAAAATAGGTTTGCAAATCTTTATTGACTCTCCTCTAACCATGTATGATGAGTTAACTGAACAGGACATGCCAGGTAGGTATCTAGAACCATTTCCAGCTTACAATGTCTGACGGTTCTATACTTAAAGCAATTAAAGGTCAAGTACCTTTAATATAGTACTTCAGAAAAAAGCAGGTTTCTACAAAGCTTCTCATGTCATTTAGTAATTGCTATTAGAACTTGGTCTGACAGACAATAGTCTCATTAAAGAAAAATCATATATGATCTAACTGTTCTGTATTCTCTGGAATATTTTGCAAACAATTTAAATGTATGTTTTAAAGCATCTGAAAACTGTATTTTCCTGTGAGCTACTAATCTTGCAGAGTTTGTCATACTGCATCAGGGCTTTCACTGAAAACCATCACATTTCCAAACACAGAGCACTTACAGAATCAACTTCTAAATATTTGATACACCATGATGTGAAGCTTTCCATATCTGCAAAAGATCAGGATCTTCACATGCTGAAGTAAATGCAGCTGTGCTATTTTCCCAGTGATTACACATTCAAAGAACTGCATGTTTATTTGAATGCATGATCACACCTACATATAAGAAAACTCAAGTATATGCATTCAAGTCATTTACTTGGATCTCACATCCAGAAACATTCACATCAGAATCATACATATCTTCTTTATTTTCCAGTACTGTTTTTGTCCTTTTGAAAACCACGTAAATTAAAAGCAAGCACATCATAATATTAACGGTCTGTTACGGCTGGAATTTTAACTGCAAAGAATAAAAGCGTTTCCCGTTGCAATGAAGCTATGTGAAATCTGCCACACGAACTCAACTGCATCAGTGTGCTAAATTCTGGAATGATAAATTGATGCAAATAGTTCATATCTGCTTCACTGTTAAAAAGGTAATACATGTCAGGCTATTCTACATCCTGCCTCAAAAAACAACTACAACAATAATGTCCAGTTTATTTTTGTAATGTCAAAAAAAATGCTTTCAAAATTTTCCGCAATTTTTCTTAGTATTTTTCCAAAGGCTAGGTTATTTATTGTGAGAGACTGAGACGTGGGCTTCTGAGTGGGAGGAATGTAGTCACAGTGCATTTGCCTACCAGTATGAACTTTTGAACTTAGTGAAGATGACCACTCTGCATAACTACGATATGTAATTAAAATTTTCTTGTTTATTGGGAGACAGAAACATCAGTTCATAAAAATTATTGGCATATTGTATTTGAAATATAATTTCAGTTACCTGTGCTGAAAAAAAGGGTCAAGAAGGTTGTTTTCTAAATAAAACTAGTTTATACCACAAAAATCTTTAAGACCAAGGGAGAATTATTCCTTTCCCATGCCCTCAAGTAAAAAGGCTGTTCAAAAAGAGTGATTTTAGAGGCAGAGCTGGAAAAAATGTAGAGGTTGTCATCTTTATACAATCTGAATTTTCAACAATCTGGATTTTCAACAATGTGTGATGTGATTATTGTAATGTATTCAATATCTGTCAGTTGATGACTCTGAAATGTGCTTTTTCCCAATTTTTTTCTGTTGAAGACTTTCTGAAGACAGATTCTCAGGTGCCGCCTTATACCATAAGGCAATTCTTATAAATTTTTTACTATTTTTTCCTTCTTCTCTTCTTTTTCTTCTCTCTGATAGCTTTTTTCTATGCTTTATAGTTGTTTTTATTTTGTGCTCCTGTGCTGTCTTCTTTCTCCCTGATCTCCACATAGCAGAAAGTGATATAAATTGATTAGTATTAAGAGCATCCACTGGTGGTTTTATGGGACCATGTTACATGGTCATAAAATTCTCCTGATTGATGAAGTATCTGTAGATTTGCTCCTGTACATTTTGTGAGTTGTTTGATGCTCTCCAGGAGAATGGTTCTTTCTCTTAGGAGAGCATGACTATGACAGAATTTTAATTTTTGCTGATGTAATGAATTCCTGGAAGTTATCATCTGCACTGTTTATTAATATATAGCACTGTATGTAAACATCAGTAGGTCATGCAGGTTTATTAACTATAACTTGTAATAGTAGTGCTTTCATAGCTCTGAACCTCTGAAGAGAGGTAGCAACAATATTTATTAGACTCACAGAAACAAGCTTTCTGACACACGAATCTTTTTCAGATATCCTGAAATATCTAAAAAATTGCCACTGTGTTTTTTTATTATTTTTAGGAAATCCCTTCAGCTTCTGTATTTATATCACTACAAGTGTCTGTGTGAAATATTTTTATATGTAGTTTTAAATATACAGTAATATAACTGCCTAATAATTAGGACTGAAACAAAAAGATGGAAATCAGGGACTGTTGATCGCAGAATTGGTTCAAGTGTGAACAATTCAAGCCACCCCCATCAGTTGTATACTCCATGAAACTGAGATCTGCTTCAAAGATCCTTGGGCCTTCTCCATTTCCATCAATCTCTTCATGTGTGGCACTATGAGACTGGAATAAATTCCTTCATTTTCACTCTTAATTTTCTCCATTTGAAACTGTCATTTTCAAAAATAGCATCTTACAGACCAGGAATACTTTGCCACAGGATGCATTTCTGATGGCAGCACGTGTGTGACTGATTGGAGCCAAACAGGCCAAATATAGCGTAAGCAGCTAAAAAACTTACACATGTGCTTTAGTTATGGGAGGAGGAGCAGGACAGGAGCTCTGCTTTTACACCACCCAACACTTGTTATGGGACACAATTCTTTGCTGGCTTCTAGAGTGGGACACTACATCAACTGGTGATGGAGGAGGAATCTGCATTCCTTGCGTTCCCTGTTTTCCTTATGTAATTCTGATGTCAAATGCCAAGGAAATGTATTTCCAAACAGGGTAAGAAAGCTGCGTTATGGTTCTGTTTGTCCCTTGTACACCTCCTTTTGTGCTTTTGTCCCACAGTACCGTGTCAGCTGAATTTGGATCCTGGGAGAGGAGCTGTTACATGTACAGAGACCTGCTCTTTTCTACTTTCCAGGTTATCCTTAATGAATGATTTGCTGCTTTGTCTGAATATTTCAGTATGTGCTCTTTTAAAAATGCATTCAGCCCAGGAAGGAAGCAGGAAGCAACACTAACTAAAGCAAGTAGTCACACATGAATAATTTCAAGAGAGTAAATGGAAAGGGATTGATCCTGCAAGGGACAGAGGTACATCCCCAGTGGGGTCTGGATATCGTAATCTTGTGATTTGTAATTCTCACAGCCTAAAGGGTTCTCCAGTCCTGGTTCAAGGACTAAATAATAAAAAAGCCAGCAAGATGAGCACATATTAGTTAGAAAAAATGTCAGAGGAGCAGGTCCTCAATATAACTCCCAAAAGATGGCTAAGATCATTTTTTCACTAATGATTGGCAGCTGTAAGTGCTGTCCAACAGTTAAGCACTTCAGTTAGGTAAGCCATTTCTCATTAAAAAAATGCAAGACGCCTGTTGTCACAATTTAAAGACCTCAGTGATTACAGCTGATATTCAGGAGAATCCTTACCCACCCAGTGCTGGAGAGAGGGCTTGAAGCCTCCCCCGCCATGTGCCAAGAGGGTGGGACATACAGGGCAGGGAGGGGGAATCCTGATCTCACTCAGTGATGATGTGAAGGAGAATAATTAAATATTCATTGAAGCAAGGACTTGACCTAACTCATCCTCATCTCTGATGAATGCCCTCATTACCAGGCTAGAGACTCATATTTCCTCTCTTTCTGTCCAGATGCATACTTAATTTCTCAGGCAACGTGAGGAGAGCTCCAAACAGGACAACCAAAGGAAAAGCACTCTTGCATACATAATGTTCCGATGTTGGAGCAGTCCGCTGGCAGGAGGGAGGCTCAGCCGACGATCCT